AGTGAGCATCTCATTGATATTCAAGTGTTGGTTTGTAGGGATTTGTTTGGTTTACAGGATTTTCATCATGAGCCGGTGGGTGAGTACCGCTAAAGAGTTCCAGGCTAAGACGAAACAGCTGTCCAGTACTCCCAGGTTTTCCAATGGTTCTCTAACTAATGTCAGCTATGATGAAAAACAATTTTTTATGCTGAAAAAGATTAAAAAAGCACAGTAATAACGAAATATATTACAAGAATTTTCCTTCTTTTTACTTTTTTGGGTAAGGACAAGAACTATCACGAGGTAGTTTTGCGCCTAGAATTAGTAAACGCTACAATAGGATAGATATTCCAGCTGAGTGAAACAAAAGTTGATATATAACAAGTTTGAAACAGCCAAACATAACATCTGATATTGATTACAGTAATACTCTAGTAGGCATGCAATATAAAATCATCTACTTGAGGAGATTTAAATCGAAACTGACCGCCTCCGTTCTACCCTCCCCCCCCAATACAAGTATACTAAGACGAAAGCAAGGCAAAGTTTAATTCTTAAAAAATTATATTTTCGCCCTACTGTTTTTCTTTTCCTAATAAATAATTATTCGCTTTGTTAGTGTGTTTTGCAGTATTTCTGATTTTTCAGTCGTTATTGTTAGTCACTGTTGTGATACACTGATAACCTCAACAATCACGACTGACGACAATACTATCTGATGGTTGAGTGATATCAAAAATCCAGAGACACTGAGCAACACAAGCTATTAATTAAATTTTGAAACAGAAAAAAGGGCTCAAGATTTGATCCTACACAGCGTCTTTTTTTTTCACGTTCCCCAGTGGAACATGGGGTCTCAAGCTAGTGGCTTGAAGTTTCTGTAGCAGTAGCGTTTATTATTTTTACAGGATGGGGTTGCTAGCCAGCCTCATGCCCAACCTTTCCTCTTTACCAGCATTATTTCTGGCTTAGCGAGGTAAAGGAGTGAGTCGGTGGCCGGGGATCGAACCCCGGGCCATATGTATGATCGGCGAGCATACTAACCGCTATGCCCCCGACGCATACGAAAAGTACAACACTAGGCTGAAATATATGTTCAGTGTTTATTGGATTTTAATATTTCATCGAAGTTCATCAAAGCAGTCAGTGACAAAAATTTCAATGAAAATTGACCAGTTCACTGAAAAACCACAGTCCTAACACAATTTATGATTTCGCATAGATACAACAGTTTATTCAGCTTAATAATTACCTCTTGTTATCCATTGTTTACAGATTTGAGTTGATTTAGAAACAATATAAGAATAGTATTCTACATAAAGTCGTCAATGATGATGGTTCTCATAGAAGACATTATAAGTCCATTAAATTCTCATACCTTCACAACATTTACTATTTTTACTGTATAGCTTAAATCATACACCCAGTGGCATAATTTTGTTATTGTTATTATGGCCTTTAATATTATTAGCTTCGAATGAATAAGCATGTAATTTAATTCAGTAGTAACATCAAATGATGTACGGATTACTTAATTTCGAACATGCAAAAAAAAGGTTTAAATTTGCTATTGAATGTTTGTTTACACACATACTCACACACACACACACACACTGCACAAGTAAGTAACACCTAATCACTAACTGACTCTTGTAGAGTTCCCTTAGTGAATTACTGACTTCCACACCAGCAGCTTGAACCCCCTTTGGCTAAAGTTTTTGTTTTATAGGCGATTGTAACATTCACTAAATTAAATAACAAATTAGTTGTTTCTTTTTAAAAACAAAGTAAATAAGCTGTAATGGAATAGTTGTTTGGAAAATCCTCCCTCCTGAGCTATCCAGTTATAATATGGATACTTGTGGACAGAGTTTTCGGTCCCACCTTATTGGAAATATTCCACTTCATTCTCTACTCGTACTCATGCAGCCAGCTAGGTGAGGGCTTACGGCGAGTTGTCATCTGAACTGGTGACGACTAGTGGTGTCCGTCAAGGATGCCCATTATCCCCATTTCTATTCAACTTCATCATAGATGTATTAATGGACTTAACCCTAACTCACTTCAGCGACTCAGGGATTGACTTGCTACCAGGGAATAATCTAGAATATGCAGACGATATAGTCCTTCTAGGCGAGGATGCTGTCAAAATGCAGAGTCTTCTAAACACCTTGAGCTGCAATCTACGAATGTTTAGCATGCGATTCCCTCCCGCCAAATGCAAGATGATGCTACAGGACTGGACTACACCGACTCCTAGATTAGAAACACGAAGTGAAGTCGTAGAGCACGTTGACCGCTTCACTTATTTGGGAAGTACCATCAACCAGTGCCAACGGGTTGATCTCTGACGAAATCTCAGCACGGATACAGAGGGCTAGTTTCACATATGCCAGTTTACGCCGTCTCTGGCTTAGTAAACGTGATATCCGGCTATCGACCTAAGGGCGGGTGTACTGCTCATCAGTCCGCTCCGTCCTCCTTTATAGCCAGCTGTGAGACCTGGCCATTGAGAGTGGAAGACATGAAAAGACTGGCTAGCTGTCTTTGATCATAGGTGCCTGCGTCCCATCTCCCGTGTGAAGTGGCATAATAAGGTGAGCAATATTGAGGTTAGGCATCGGTCGAGTTCTAAGTAAGGAGGGGAAATCAATCGACGAGGCTGTGAAATTACATCGACTGAGATGGTTAGGACATGTGTTACGTAAGCCTAGTCATCGCCTTCCTCGACGGACAATGTTAACTGACATAGAGTCAGACTAGAAAAGAGCTGGAGGCGGTCAAACCAAAACATGGCTTCATCAGTCAATGAAATCCACAACAGTTAGTTTAAGCCGGCCACATAGGAAGGTGTAGACTTCCTGACTGGTTGGGGTCCTCGTGACGGTAAGAACCAATGGTCGGAAACAATTGATGATATGGCTCAAAATCGTTCTCAATGGCTAGCGCAAATGCATCCACTCCTTGTGACTTATGATTTCCAATGAAACTGTTTTGTTCTTCGTTATTACTATTCCTTTGTCTCACACCTCTGTTTACTGTCTCTAATATGCATTTCTTATACTTTCTTGTCTTGCTTTGTGTGATACATGGAGGGAGTGTGGCGACTTGAACTGGGACACATCGGTGCAAACTTCTATGTCGAAAATAGACGAACAGACAGACTTGATTCTCAGGTACTTTTTACAGTGCTTATTTTATATGTAGAAAGTTAACCTGTTTGTATAGCTGCCCAGCAGCACTGTTGAGGTGATTTTGAGTTTTTGATGTTATTATAGAATAGAAGCACGTAGAGCGTTTTATATATGTGCATCTCTTCAAAGAAGTTTTGGACAGTTGTACAGTAGGACGCAAAGATCGGTTCCCTGCGTCCAGACAACAATGCGGCAGTTTTGTTCATTACACAAGCTTCTTTAAGTACTGTTTCAAAACTAGAATGTATAAATTAAATCACTAAATTGAAAACTTATTTTGCAAACTGACTGACTTTTGGGTCATATATAATTTAGGTTTAATTATAAGGAAAGTGAAATTCCAGTCCAGTAAGACAATGGCGACATATAACTTCATTATGGATAAGATTTTATTTTGATAAATCACACACGTTTCGAGCACAAACTATTGCCACTCATAATCGTATCAAGTTACTCATACAACTTATTTCCTTCATTTATATACATGTGTGGAATCGATTAGATATTGGATTAAAAATCAATATGAGATACTGTACATTCAGAATTATTAATATGGGTGTTATTGATCAATTACCATCAGATGGGAAATACGACGAGTGTTTTCCTCTTCTGATTTGACCGGTGGTAATAATATCTTCCATATTTCTGGTATTCGCATTGAGTCATTCCTATTGCATGTGTTGGGTGTAGACTCGATGAACAAGGATTCAGTAATCAACCTCTCTCTCCACCTACCTACCTTTATTACTTTTTAACCCCATCCCACCTTATTGTGTGGTTGCTTGTTAATTCGTGAAGTGCAATAGTTGAGCTTTTTTCTAAATTACTTATCTTCTCGGGGTCAACCATTCTTACCATAGCTAAATTCTTATGTTCCGACAATCGGACTACCCCTGACCTACTAGTTTGACCTATGTAGTTGACCTAACTCACAGTCATTGCATGATATTTTGTAAATTATATTATTTAGTCTAATTGGGTCAACCAACAGGATTCTTTAACCTACACAGCTTGTCCCTGAGTGAGTTTGTAGGTTTGAATGGCACCCTAATTCCTGCTTTATTAAGAATCCTACGTAGGGTCACAGATGTCCCCTCCTTATATGGTATAACAGTGGATGACTTATATTACTAGTTCCACAATTACTTTTATTTTGTTTTCGGCTTTTACTGAACCTCCTAATTAATTTTATAGGATAGTTAGTTAATTAACACCAACGCTTCTTCTATCTGTTTTATTTCGTCATTTAGGTCTTTTTTTGTGTGCTACTTAGTGCTATGAAGTTATGCTCTACCACAGTGCCCAAGTTTTATACTTATATCAATAATACTGGCGACATATTTCATATAAAATCTGAACGTATAATGGACTTGGGTTAATCAGCGATGCTGATAAGTTATGGTGTAATCAATGTAATCCGAAACACTACAACTAATATCTCTATTAATTAACAAAGCGTGTAGATAGGCTTGGGGGTATTATAGTTATCCTAGGGACTCGAAAACCGATACCAAGCAGTAATCCAGTCATCTTAAACCGTAGTTTTCTAATTTCTTTATTTGTCATACTATTAAATGGAATTAAAAAGCCGTGAAAAGAGGAAGCCCTATACATAAAAAATACTGCGTCGGTGGCACAGTGGTTAGGACTCTAGCCGACCATGCACATGGTCCGAGGTTCGATCCCCTGCCGACTCACACCTGATATCTATGGTCGGCCTGCGAAATTTGGGCTAACGATATCCATGGTAAAAATTCCATACTTGTACCAAAAATACAGTGTGGAATCAAGCTGTAAATCAAAAAGAAAATAATAATAACTTACCAAAAGTCATGAAAATCAAAGTTAATATAGGCTAAACGTTCATTTTTTGATAATAATATATGACGTATATATGCGTCAGACAATATAGTTTCACGATGTTTACGACCAAAACTCAATAAATTCACTATAAGTATACGCTCAAATTCATGAAAGTGTTGCAACCAATACTTATTGAACGCTTCTTGATTCTCTTCTTGTGCTGTAGAAGTTAGTAGACAATAACAAAAAAAACAAAAACAACAATAGATATGTGAAGAGAAGATGGAGTAAACATAAAAGCAATTATGCACCACATATTAGTGATATGAATCAGTAAGATCGGAATCACTGATCCAAGAATAATTACAATATGATACCAAAAAAATAATCATAAATGAGAGTTATATAAAAGAGTTTTCCTGAAAAAGGTGAAAATGAAGAAACACTCCTTATTTGTTTAAGTTAATTTTTTTAAAATTCCCTTTGATTGTTTATATTATTGGACCATGGAGCGGGAGTTTACAGGCACATACATACAGATGACGGGTCCCAAATAAGCCGAAATATTTATCCTGAATTCTATTGTTAGTCTTCGTAGACCGAATAGGAAATATTTCTTTTCAATGACCAGCGGTTAGAACTCTCGCTGACCATGCACATGGTCCGGGGTTCGATCCTCTGCCGACGCACACCTGATATCAATGTTCGGCCAGCAAAATTTGGGCTACCGATATCATCACATGCTGAAAATTCCATACTTGTACCAAAAATACAGTGTGTTTTCAGGCTATAATCAAAATAAATAAATAAATAAATTTACACTAAAAACAACCTTGATAGAGAGTTGCCATGTTTCTTTTAATAGTAATTAGATACAGGTGACGCATTAGCTATATTCGCACCTCCAAACTCCCATCTCAAGTTGAAAAATTATTATTTCAAATTTGTTTCCATGCTCATTTTTTACACACTTGACATCCGTTCCAATCCTGTGTAATTTTGTTTCTAAGCCTCTCGTAGAAACCATATCTATGTGGAAAGTACTTATCGTCTGCTTTTTTCGGCGTCTTAATTATGTGGAATGAAACAAGAATTGTATTCATGTAAAAACTATGTATTTAAATGAGATTGTACAGCTTCTGAAAATGAAATTACCGAAAAGGCAGATATCTTTGCTGAACTTTGTATTCCCTTCTTTCATTGACTTTTTAACAGAAAGTATTAAGAACTATCTACATCAGTGATGATGATACTGACTAACAGAAGAACACACTTTGCTCGCTGAGTGATTAGTTTTCATCATCAATGTAGTCAGAACTAGCCAACCTTTTGTAAATCACTCACATGTTGAAACCAGAAATCAACTCTATGTGCTATAATATGGTTTAGTAGAGTATGGAGGATAATGGTAAACTTTTCTTTATTATCATCAGGCTAGATAATTTTCTCATACAAATACAAGCAAAATATTTCATTCAAGTTTCAGTTGTAGGTGATAGGGTAGAGGAATAAAATAAAAAGGATGTATTATTAACATGAATTCCTATGCCATAAACTCGTCCACGTAATTCATCTAATTTTCGTATCAAACTAAGTCATCACTTATAGCAGCATGAAATGCTGTCATTTCATTCTCTTTCTATTCTAAATGTTACTCGATTGGATCAAAAATAATGAGAGTTAATGATGAATAGAAATTGAATATGTCAGTTAAATGTAATTCTATGCATATATATATATATATATATATATACTAATTTTGATACAACAATAACAGTGATGGAAAAACTATTCATTAGATAGATGACATTTAAAAAAAATACACTTTGTCAGGAAATATATATATGAGCGAGTTAATGATGATTTTAGCTCAAAGGAATGTCTGTATAGTGAGTGATATAATTCACGAAGAAGAAATAAACGGACAAGCAATGGCTAAATTGTAATCAAATCCTCTTATGCAAGGAGCTTATAACTTCAGCTTCACTTATCAATCTACATCTGTCAGATTAATATAAGACCATCTCAGACAATCTAATCACACTTTTATAGCATAAATGAGCCAAACAGACAAACAAACAAACCACGACACAACACAACACAATACACCAAACAACTCAACCGTTCATTTCATTTCAAATTATGAGAGAAAAAAGGAAAGAATAAGAAATGAAATAAAACTAATGCAAACATCTGTTTAAGTCATATTCTACTATGGTGTAGTTATATATTTTTGTTACCGTAGAACAACAGAGAAATGAATTTTCCGTGTATACAAAAACAAGGAACACTGTATTGTGCTGCTAACACATTTCACAGTTGTTTGAAATGCACAACAACATGTTTGATACAATAGAGTTCTTTTTTTTTAAAAAAATTCCTATAACATTCCCACTGAAACATAGAACTGCAAGCTAGAGCTTTGAAGTTTCAGTAGAAGTAGTGTTTATTTTCACGGGATGGGATTGCTAGTCTCATCCCCAACCTTCCTTTTTACCTGTTTTATTATTGGTTTAGTGAAGTAGAGGAGTGAGTTGGCCGGGGGATCGAACTCTGAACCACCTGCGTGCTTGGGGAGCATCCTACATTGAAGTGGGTATAATTAATAAGAGAAGTAAAAGTGCTCTTTTTTCACAATCGACGAAAACACCACGATTACAGCTAACTAAGAAACATCTGAGTGTAAAGACATGCTTGTAAACGTGAAGTGTGCACGCATACGTTTGGTATGAATACTCAATGCGTGTTATGGTTTACTCAGTGTTCTATCATTTATGAGCTACATAGTTGTATCATCTATGATAAACCGAAACGCGTGCTTATCCTTAAAGTGGATTGCTTCCCCTGTTAGAATATACATAAGCTTCGATATAAACATTAAAAACAAAAATATTATTGATGAGCGGTTTGGTTATAATTTAGGGTAGTTGTGTGAGCTTAATAGGTGGTTGGAATTCGAGCGCCTAGACAAATAAGCAACAAATTCACTTCAATCTGTCTGATTCCCATCGGTCTACGGAAAAATAAAGCGAATTTGATCAGACAGATACATGTAAATATAAACATAGGAGGCAAATTAATACCAGTTAACCATTCCGTTTATTTATTTGATATTGACTACCCTTCACTGCTTATTTATAGTTAACAGAGGAATAATAATTAAGGCACGAGAAATTTTTATTAACAGTTCACGGTGTTAAAGATGATCATTAGGGTTTTACAACTAAGTAACAATTTTGAATCGGTTTGACTGGGATTATTGCGTAACAACTTTTAAAATATTAGATCATATTCCTTTGTAGGCAAGATTAGTTCAATGAATGCATACTAACACTCTCCAAGATGCTGACGTGTCTAGGTGCGTAAAAAAAATAAACTTGAAAACATCTTCAGCTGCCTCCTGTATGAATCGATTCATGAAATCAGCAGATCTGTAACACCTATAATTATCTTTTAGAAATATCAACTTTCAACAACAGAAATCAGACACTCTAATTACACGTTTGCATCCACTAGACAATAAGTTCAGTGAGTTACTAAATAACCGTCACAATACTAAGTTAGACTGACCTCGATAGATAAGATAGAACAGAATTCTAATATTCGAATTAAGGAATGATACTCAAGAGTGTAAAGTATAGGCAACCTATTTAATTTAATTTGGACTTTCCAGTTAACTGATTGGACCGGATTGCTCGGACTCAGGTTGACATACAGGCTTCTTGTGCAGATATTTCGACGATGTCTGATTACTTAAATTGAAGTAAACTGGTATATGTTGACTAGCAGCAGGATACAGAGTGAGCGTTACGTCTCATTCGGGACTCGTCAGCTAGATGCACCTGCATTCCCCACTGAGTCAGTGATGGTGTCCCCACTTAATCTAAATTGAACTGAATTACTGGTGATACCCGTTTTACAAGAAAGAGGTGGCTCTTGTGGCCCAAGTGGTCTAGTTGATAACGCTTTGGCATTTGAAATTATAAGTACTGGGTTCGAGCCTCAGTAGGAAGTGCAGATACATCAAAAGTGACGAATCCCAAATAGAAGGAAATGCGCATCCTGGATTCCACTGCTGGTCGCCAATACAGGCAACATATCCTCAATAGTAATGAAAGGATACTCTACCCTATTATTAATGCTTGTTCCGAAAGTTGTCAGACCAATGTATTTAATTTTAATAGTCTTTCTAGTAACGCATTCATAAAGAAGCCATCCTAACTGTCCACGTCGATTTCCAATCATAAGTTTAAGGGGTATTACCTAAATCTTCTGCAATTTAATTAATTAATTAAATTTATTAAATTTAATTGTTAACAATCAGACAAGAAAAAAATTCAATCAACACGTTAGACATTGTAAGCTTTTTTTTAAACGAATTTTATGACTTCTACGGTATTACAAAAGCACATCATAAATGCACAAAATCATTTCATTTTCTTTGAATAGGGGTATTAAATTCTAGAATTGGTAATCAAACTTGTAAAACAAAGACTGAAACCAAAATCTGCTTACAAATAGAACATAAGCATTAGTACTATTTGGTTAGATTCTTAGTGGAGTATAAGGCTACAACAGCACAACTCCACTTCGCTCTGTAGTCTGCCTGAACAGGCTACACGTCTGTTTATAAGCTTTTATTTGCTGTTCCCACGACATTTTGCATGTCACCACCACCTATGGATGCGCAGCGCGTCGTCTCCCACTCGGGGATGGCGCGCGATGTTATTCAACAGTCTGAGAATGTATTCAATTCAACCTCAATTTATTCAGCATATTTGTTGAGTGAAGCACTGATACGATATTAGCATTGGTAATACGGATTTTGTTTTTTGTGCTGAGTGCGGTAGATTTTCGCACTGATCAAAGCGTAATGAAATTCTATTTTATTTTTTCGATCCAGCTTTTGACATCTTTTCGGCGAAAAGGTAACCTTGCTGAGCTTCTGTTCATTTCTCCTCTATTTTCTGTTCAACAGAATTTACATTATTATGAAGTGACTGAATTGAATTCATTTCAAATAATTTCAGCTATTGTATTCTCTGAGATGAATGATTTAAATAAAAAGCTAACATTATGCTTCTGGGCAAAATCTTCACTGGAAATGTCAGTGTGGAGTGAAGCTCTGGGACCTTCACTGTGACTGGTTGTTCTCATAAATTCGCTCGCGATTCCGTCCACTTGTATTGATCGTCATATCAAACCTGATATATGCCTTTC